ACTGAAATGTTACAAATGCGGTCTGGCGAGGCCAAACCCAGAAGAGATCCTCCGAGAACACGGGGACCGGCATCAATCCAGAAATGCCAAGCGCCGAGGTGGAGGTAAAAAGAAGAAGACCTGGCAGGACGATTGGACCGATCGGGGTAGATGGACCGGATCGTCGTCGTCTTCATGGACGGACTGGAGTTGGAAGAACAACAAGTATGATGAGTCGTCAGGAAGAGATCGAAATCATCCCTTTGCGCATGTCGGACCTGATGGTCCGGCCTTGGCAGCTGGTGGACTGGTCGTGACATTGATTATCGAAGCCACATGGGCCGCGATCCGAGTGACGAGGCAGGCCGGCGAAAGCGGCGCTGCGTTGGTCCAGGCTGTTGAGTATGCCTTGATCTCCGTAGTGGAAGAGACGGGAGCTCAGGTCGAAGGGATCTTGAGGCTCGGGGTGGACGCAGCAGGGCTGACATTAATGTGTTGGTGCCTGTATGCTCTGTACCAGTGGAAAAAAGGGAGAAACGAAGAGGTGCTGTTCTGGTCGCCGCCAGTCTCGCCGAAGAAAAGAGCGGCGAAGGCGCGGGCGAAGAAAACAGGAGATCAGGGCAGCTCGAACCTAGGAATCGTCAGCCTAGATTCTCTTCGATCGAAGGCTCGCCTGGAAGAAAAGAAGACTAGCGAGCGGGCAGCCCTGCCGCCGCTAGAAGCGATCAAGGATGTGAGCCCTCGTCCGAAAGGGAGAGGACAAAAGAAAGAACAAAGAAAAGAAGTCCCGAAAAACACCACTGAGTCGGTGCCTGGGAAGTCACCCGTTCTCAGGGTTCTAGCAGGAGCCTCAGAAGCTCAAGAAGCAGCCCTGCAGGTACTGGAGGAAAGCGCTGAGGCCGGAACCGAGGCTCGCGTGTGGTTCACAGGCTATGCGGTCGACAGACCCGAAATCCTGGCCGGACTGAAAGTCGTGCAGGACGCGGGCTGTGAGTTGAAGGTGACCGTAGACCAGGCCCAGTCAAAGAGGAACGTTGAACAGAAGAAAGTTCTTCAACAGGCTTCCTCCAGTGGGTTGGCGGTGTTGTTCGCCAACGGGAACCCGTTGGGACCGCACTACCAAGCAGCAGGGCGTGGCAGGTTGAACTTTACCGGGGCATTACATGCCAAGACATTGATTGCAGAGCTGCCAGGCCAGAAGCAGGAGCCGAGGAAAGTTCTGGCCATCTTGGGTTCGGTGAACTGGACCACGGCGTCGAGGGGCAATCATGAGCTGGCAATGCTCCTGGAAGTTGACCAGAAGTCGCAGGCAGGTGAAGATCTGATCCGATGGGCTACTGAAGTAGCCCGACACGGGAAGACATTGGATGAATGGGATCTTCAAGAGATCAGTGCATCTGCCAGGCAGCGACAACATGGTTAACCCTGTGGCATTTTGCGCAGGGGGGTTCCAGCGGCTATAGGGCGCGGAAGCTCAGTGCTCCTGCGGCTCTTAGCGCGGAACTTGTGTGTAGGTTTTCTGTGTGGGATCATAGGCAGAGGGGCGAATGTAAAGTGCATGCTCCATGTACAGTGCCTAGTGATCCCTCACTAGGTCGTTTTGTGCCACTGCAGAGCGACCGCTTTATTTTGGCTCAAGACGCACTAGGTTCGACCGACGCGACAAAAAGGGCTTGGGACCGAGAGGGTCTTTGGGAAGCCCCTTTTGGCTTCGCAAATTATTATTGAATTATTGATTATTATTGATTATTGATTATTATTGAATTATTATTTATTATTATTGATTAATATTGATTTATATTCCCCATAATTTCTGGGTAGCCAAGTTATTTCTGTCAACTATAACTATCTAGAGGGCCTCACTTTGTGCCAAATCATGGCAACCCCACCAAACCCATGCTTAACATCTTCAATTGACAAACGCCTGCAAAGCAAACACAGCCAAAACCCCCCTCTGCAAATTGTTGGTTTGCAGATGTTGCAAAAGCCGCAAGTCGAGAACCAGGAGCAATCATATTTGAGACTTTATATCTGATCTTGCAGTGGAAGATATCCCACTAACATCCACTAACAAAGTCAACTAAAAAATATGACACACACACACCTACACACCTACACACTTGAAAACAAAATGACCACTGCCCTATTTCCGCTTAATGTGGCAAACCCAAGAGTATACGATCCCCCATCGACCCAATTTTACCATTTGGGGTATATTACAAACCATACCGTACCTGAAAAAGAACTCAATTCTTGGGTTTATCCTGATTGTCCTCTTTCTTTTTTTGGCTAAAATCTCAATCATCTCCAATTTGGTGGAGCGAAATTGACCGGTCAATTCATGCTTAAGATCCTTTTTACCACATCATCATTTTAAGCCGGAGTTCCGGTTTGTAGTTTTTCGATGTTTTTCGCACTTTTTCACTAAAAAAACTAAAGACAATTTACATTATTAACATCATTAAACCATATTAAACCCATTTAAGAAAACGCACACACACACAATTAAAACACGACTAAAGACCATCTTAAAACAAACAACTCACCATTTTAAGCTCCTCCAAAGTCGGTGGATCCAGCTTCACAGCTTTCTGGCAATCCTGTTCCAGGACTGGGCTGACTGGGCTGCGGGCTACCTTTGAACTAGGATGATCGATAAATGGTGAGTTTAGCCGGTTGAATCCCAAACACGCTAAAATTCTAGGAACCTCAGTGTACGGTAATCCCGCCGAGTCTAGCACATGAAGACTGACTTTTTTGTAATTGCGGAGGTTGCTGCGGAGAAAAACACTCTCATTTGATCAGTTTGAAGCTACTTCCAGGGAGACTTGTGATCCCAAATTGTGCAACTCCCATTTGAAACAACCCCCACATCATAAAATGATTGGTCATTTCCAATCTTAGAATATCTTAGATACTCAAAACATCTCAAAAAAACATATTCGCCTGTTTCAAGCTATGATCACCTACAGACAAACGCTTCTGTACGACAGCCAACCCCAGCGGATGGGCCCAGCTCACTGGACCTGTACCGCTTTGTCGTGCTTTTCCATCTTGGAGTAGCTCTGCCCACCTCTGGCAGAAGAAACGTGCCACTTTTTTGCATCTTTTTGCCACTTGCAACGCTGTAATACAGTCTATCTGAAGCAAGTACGTCTCTGATTGTTTCCCACAAGGTTTCTATATCCATCAATATCCACGATCTGGCTTTCTCCATCTGGATGATATTTTTGTTGTGCTTCAAATCCATCCCAAAGCAGATTTTCAATTAGCCAATAAAAAGGCACCAAGGTATATCCACATCTCAACATCTAGGCGTGTCTGAAAATAGGCTGCTGCACAACTTGATATTTCATCAATTTCCATCATTCAAATTGCAGTTTTTTGGGGTTCATTTTATGCATTTCGATTGCTGTATATGCCCGATTTTCACGGAAACCCATACAATATCTTAACAGACATATCTTAACCATCCCCCATAAAGAAAACAATCCCCCAGATCCATTCTACTAGAGGTGGCAAGGCCACACTTCGGTTGCCAGCGCGCAAGCGCGCTCTTAAGCCCTCCACGAATAGAGAAGGCCGCGGCGCACTCGGGTCGGTGCCTAGCCGTTGATTTCTCCAGTATATCAAGATGATAGAAAGCATAACGGGAACCCAAAGAAATGGCAAGAATTCAACTGACAGGAAGTGGGATTTAAGACACAAAAAAGATCAAAACAGTGACCGAGCAACAAGGAAAAGGACAAGCATAGAGCTATGGACCACTGATCTCAGAAAATAGCCCTACGAAGAAACGTACGCAAACTAGGAACAAAGTGGATCGGGATCTTTTTCCTCACTTTGCTGTGCATCTCGATGTTCACTTTGTCGCATTGAACATCTTCGACACGTTTTCTTTTTTATAACTTGTTTGTGCCTTTTGGCACTTTTCATTTCATAAATTTGTTGACTCTACAGCTATGACCCCAATGTTCAGGTGCACCTCAAGGCAAGGCTGGCATCCGTGACCGCACCTGGGATAGGGCACAGAATCGGCCGATGTTTTTGAGCTGCTTCGATGATTTTTATGGTGGTTTAATGTGGTTTATGATGATTTGCGTGGTGGTTGATGATGATTTATGGTGAATCATGTTGATTTACATGCTGATTTATGATGCTTCCTGGCGATTGTTGACGGTTGACTCCCGAAAAATCAGGCACAGAGGTGTTGATTTTTGATGACCCTCACCCTGTTGGGGAAAACCTGCACCAAAAGTGGCATCGATGACGTTTGAAAAGATCGGCAGCCAATGGGTCAATAGCCAGATGTAGTCAACAAATGTCAACAAGAATCAAGTTCAGCATTTTTTGTTGGATATAAGATGATATACGATGGTATAAGATTATATAAAATGATATAAGCCTCTTCGAAACAGCCGTACACACGGGCCAATCTTGCTCATTTTGCGGTGGGACATGGCCAGCAATCTCACTTCCTTGGTTTCAGATATACGGCACATTGACATAAGATACTACAAAATAATGTCGCTAAACACGGTTGCACAGTACACAACAACAATCAACAACCATTGAGAGCCTATGACTATGAGAATTCAACGTGTAGTATTGATGAACCATGATGAACCATGATGAACCATTAAAGATATCAAAGGCACAGCAGTCCAACTGCCCAAAAATCCTCCCCATCGTTTTTGCTCCGCCTTTGAGGTCCCCGTTGATGCGCTTCACATCTGCTTGGATGCAAATGGCTTCCACCAACCGGGGGTCCAACTTCAAGGCCTGGGAAAAAGCCCAGGCCTCGAATGGACCAACCATGAGGACCGTATGAGCATTTACTAGTTCTATCTAATTCTATGATTACTTATATCATCTTATATCTCTCTCTGACTCTCTCTATATATTTATAACTTATATCTGTTTTCATGTCAGCTCTCACCAAATAGCACCTCACTGTTCAGGGATGATCCTGCAAAGAATCCACCTGGGCTCTTCAGCATCCCCATCCTGCCTGCTCGCAATCAGCAAGGGCACCTGCACATGGCCAGGAAAAACATTGGAAAAACCATGAAAAACTGAGATCGTTGCATCCAGTTGATCAAAAGCTCTGCGAAGCTCTGCAAAGAACAAGGACAAGCCTTAAGCAAAGATAGTCGCAATGCCTATGGAGCGACGAGTCCTCTTAGAGACAAGTCAAAAAGTGGACCCATAGAGAAGATACCCTCTGGTTATTTAACATAGCCATGGAAAATGGCCCATAGAAATAGATGGTTTACCTATTAAAAATGGTGATTTCCCATGGCAAACGGTTAGTCATAACCAGATGGTAATTGCAGAAGATAGCCACCCACACAAACACGCAGAGACTTGGCCTTGTTCAATCTGACATTTCCGATGAATCCACAACTGAGCGGTCATCTTTTGCCATCCAATCTTCGGGATCAACACAGAAAGTGAGCCATAGCAGTATTTAAGCTGCACTGCCTGCATCAAGTGTTTATAACAACACTTCATTACATAGAAAATCCCATAGAATGATTCATTTGATGAACATCAGCCATTTTTTTTTCCGTTGACAAAATGCCCCCACCTTCCAGATTTCCTTGCTTCAGGCGAACGTGGGCGCCTCACAGGGGCGCCCTTTTTGATCATCAGTTGGGCGCTCTCCGAGGTCATGGTACCCCAGTCATCCAAGTCATGGATGATCATGACCTAGTAGTGAAACATACCGATACCTATGGATACCTATATATACCTATGGATACCTATGGATACCTATAGTTTTTTTTTGGATCATCCATGGGATCCCCCATGACTTAAACCCCCCCAAGTCAATCCGTTGACTCCGTCGAATTTCCACCGTTCACAGATCTCTGTAAAACGACTCGGCTGTTGGCGTCGCGCAAAGGCCATGAAGCTTTCCCTTGGAGGCTGCATTAGCTTCGAAGTGCTGATGATAGGAACGCCCCAAAAGAGACGGAGTTTAGTAAATCCCAATCCCAAAACATTGGCCATTTTAGGAATTTTAGATCTTTTTTGGGGTTCCGTATCATCGATTTTTGAGACTACTATCATCTACTAATCCCTTCTACCTATTTCTAAACGCATCCCACAATATAAAAACTAGGGTCAATTTCCAATCTTTGGAAATTTCAGAGTGGTCAATTTGATATTTAAAACATACCCTTTAGAAAACAATTTAAAGATAAAACTCGCATGTGAGGGTTGCACCCCCTAATCATAAAAACTAGTCAGCACCGGGGTGTTTTTTATTAGGGTCCGTCCTTTAAAATCAAGAAGTTCAGTGCTTTTTATATTTATTTATTTATTAAAATTTGTAGTTTAATATTAGGGGAACCTTCGAAATCCAATTGTTGGCAATATTTTGATTAGGTTTTAAACAGGAATTTAATTGATTGTGACATCGCACGTTTTAGTTTAGGGGGAAGCTTCGCACCCCAATACTAAATACACCTATATTATAATCTTAAAGATTCCCCCGGTGTTTATTATTGGGGGGCGGCCCGGTTTAGTATTAGGGAGAAGGGATTGTTTACTATCATGTGCTTGTGACTTGTGGGTGTAACCATGGTTTTACAATAATGACCAACAAAAGCTGTATATATATATATATATATATCCCCCATAAGTCGGGATATAACCAATGTCAGCCCCCCTGTTTCCAGCAACCTCAATTTGGTCAATGCAACCCCAATTTTTCATGGGGGATTCCTGGCCGCCCTGGATCATCATCCCCAATGTATTGAAGGTAGGTTCCACTACCCCCCGAGCTAATCATCAACCAACCATGGTATATTTTTTCCACTTCTATCACCGTATTTTCATGCTTAAAACTATCATCATCATCACCATCATCACCATCATCATCATCATCAACATCATCAACATCATCAACCCGGAATGGATCCAACAGGGTCCGATAAAACCAGCTTTTTTCACTGCCCCATGGATCCCAAGGCACGGCCTCAAGTTGATGCACTCGTTGAAGTCGCCTTCCGCTCCGGTGATGTCTTTCCTGGGACGGAACCAGGTGATTTGGTGAGGCAAAAACCATGACGAAACCACACCGAACAACATGATTCAGCATATTTTCAATGATCTTTTTTTTGGGAGTTTTGGTGTATGCGTGAGGCCAACATTTTTTTGATATTTTTTTGGAGAGGAGTCCGAGCCTGTCCTTGTGAAGCAAGCAAGACTGGTCGATAACCAACAAGGATCTAGGCCAATGATGGGGCATTAAATCAAAGCCATGTATTTGCCAGTTTTTTGGGATTTGTTCCTGATCATTATGGTGGATTTGCTCAAAGGTTGGAACCCCAAAAAGTCATGCTTTCCCACCTACTTAGATTTCCTGAAGGTCGATGTCCCATGGGAAGATTCAACTAAGTACGTTTAACAAACCCAAGTCATGCATCCCAAATTACAATATACATATACGGATAATTATATATATATATATTATATATATATCAATATGTCAATATTACAATCATTCAACAACCTCGGAAAACATGTTGGGGATGGCCATGGATGGCCCGGCTTTTGTTTTTCAAACCTTAAAACGGTCACTGCACCGTGCAGTCTCACCGAGGTGCAAATCGACGCGCGCACAGCCGCGGTTGAACCTGCGGCTGAAGTTGGTGATCATATTTTGGGATGAGTCCCAACCTATGATATTGTTTGTCTTATATATGCAAATAAAATGGACATGCAACTAGAAAAAGCCAGCTATATTGACACACTGCCAGGTTTGTAAATTCCATAGCCGTTCGAATATGTGTCGACTTATATAAAATCTTGGCACTGTAGTACCAACACATCCTTTTACTATACATTTTTGAATAAAGAACATCCGAGATTGGCAACGAAATGATATGGGAGTGGTATTTAATACAATCTCAGATTATGGTATCATACAAATCAAATATAATGATATACCTGGTATAATTATGATGTATAGTGAGATTGGATCACCTGTTGGATCATAAAAGTAGTGGTCACAAGAAATCTTGAAGTTTGATCCCGGGATCGTAAGCATTTGGAGCAGAAGTTTGGTAAAGCCGCCATAAAAATCACCCCAGTAAGCATCCACTTACTGATAGTTGGATGTTTATGGCGGTTCACCATGAAATCGCATGGACATATGAAGAGGTAAACCGCCATAAACGTCCATAAACTTAGCACCAGCGAGGACTTCTGACGATACGACAGTGACCAGTGCTGATCGATCAGCCTCCAAAGGGGGAGCGACTGACCCATGGTAAAAGTTCTACAGTTCTTGTGGGGCAGACAAGTTCGACCAAATGATTATCATGTTCCGTACTAGTAAATAATGTACCCTCCAGTCAACATACAGAAAAAACGCTGGCAACAACTTCCATCACTTTAGTACATGATCTACTTTTCTGGTGCGTTCTTCATCTCCATCTGGGTTTGTCTGAAAATAGGGTATTATAAATCGATTGATCAATCGTCATTATCCTTATTAAAACGCCCATTTAGAGGGCATAGTCTATTTTCAAACAACCCTATGATTATCAACTAATCCTGAGTCCTATATGTCCAAAAAAAATAAAACATACCTGGTTGACTGGTTGGTGGTTTTAACCATCTTGAAAAATATTAGTCAATGGGAAGGATTATCCCATATAATTACCATGGAACATAAAACATGTTTGAAACCACCAACCAGATACCCTACTACATAATCCAAAGTTCATGAACCATCCAATGGTTGGTTTTTATATATACCCGACGGTCACTTGGTGACCACACCAGGCTCGCGCGCAGTCGCCGTCTAAGGAGAGAGCCTGCCATCAATCGAAATAGTGGTAGAATGGCTGGTTGGTGGTTGACCTACCCATCTTGAAAAATATGAATGAAAGTCAATGGGAAGGATGACATCACATATATATGAAATGGAAAATAAAAAATGGTCCAAACCACCAACCAGAGGTAACAGGATCACTTTGGAACACAGTCTGAAGCATCACTTTGGAACACAGCCATTTTCACCTCACTTTGGAACACAAAATGCTAACCCCAACCAGATGGCTATATCATGGGGAAACAATTGGAATTCATGGGTTGGTCTAAGGGAAATCTAAAGGAATTTCTGCTTTTGTCACGTCACATGTGTGTTCTTTCCACCCAATTCGCCCTGAAACCAGTTCAGGGATTGGTGGCGGATTTTTCAACTCATCCCAATCTATCCACAAATGACCCCCCCCAAAACCAGTTCTCAACAAAACGCACACTAAAGTGGGATACACATCTGCCAGAAACCACCAAAGCAATGAATTTCTTGCATCTGGCCCATTGGCCCAAGGCACCCGACTCGCTTAGCCCCGGAAAAAAACACCTCACTTGAGTCCCCCATTCAGTCTCCCTGAAATCACCGATTGGCTTAAGTTACCACGACAATGGTGAAATGAGATCTCCATCTGACTAGTCCATCATATTTAATCACATTCCACTATGCAATTTATACAATTCATGACATGTGGCATCTCAGAGAGCTTGCCGGCTTCCATATCTTCCATTCATGTCAGTAAATTGTGCCCACTAAATCTCAGCCCCATGGCCCATGGGCCTTACTGGCCGCCTCCGCTGCTCCCACCACATCGGAGCTATCTAGCAAGGCTCCACTGAGGGAGCACCATCCGTCAACATCTGCCTGGTGAAACGGTGAAACGTCGCCAGTTTCCGGAGAGTTTCCTGGGACTTACCATCAGTTATAAGCTTTGCTGGTGTTTAAACTATCAACATCGATTGAATCAGCAAATCTATCCCATTATTGGTTTTAAATGGTTTTAACATGTTCCGCCCAACCCGGACGTTGCTCCACACTTACAATCATCATGATCATGACCATCATCATCATCATCATCATCATCGTCATCATCATCATCATCATCATCATCATAAACATCAATATGTGGAATGGAGTAATAAAATCAACTTTATCTTCATGAGGGATCAATATTCGCCACCCTCTCTGAACAATATGTTGATTGGGGTAATGACATCAACTTATCTTCATGAGGGAACACCAACTTATCTGATGATGATGATGATGATGATACATGTGCATTTCGACATTCCACTTCTGGGGAACATCAAACATATGCACCCTTTCCACGAGTCAGGCGCGGAGCAGCGTCAGGGTTGCACCGAACATGTTTTAACAACAAGGAAATATGCTGATATACAGCGACTAACTATGCAAAATAGCCAGGGATTTTACTGGGACTCAAGCATCAATTGTCTGAAATTATAGTGTTTATGGGAACTATTCTCGGGGAGCAAACTGATTGGCTATTCATAACCATTAATTACTAAACATTGTTATTTTATCAGCAAGTATATGGGTTAAAATATATTTTTCAAACCGATTGAACGTATGGGGATATTATGGGATATTGAAAAAAAACGAAAACAAGGACTTTGCTGGGACTTGGTGATGTGATTGAGAAATGATGGTTGGTTGGTTCCGACGTGGGGGGTTATTAAGTATCTGGTTTATCGCTCAGTGTGACATAAGCCAGCATTTTGGTTGGATACCTATCAGCCAACCAATAATCCGGGATAGTTCTTTCCCCATTTCCGTGGTGAATTCCTCTACTTTTAGTTCGCTGAAATCATTGAAATCCTCCGTTTGGTAACATCTTCCATGTGTCATCAAAGCATTATCGCTTTCCTTAATTGATTGCCACATTTTTCCTTCATTTCTTGCAAAGGAAAGTGAAGCTAACACCCACTTGGTGAAAGCATCCTCACGAACTTCGTTGAACTTCCCCACTTTTCTTTCCGATCTTCCTTGATGTTCATTAAAAAGAGGGGAACATCCATCAGCCATAGATTGATAAACATGATATATATATATTTGATATATCATAGATTCCTATAATGATGGCTTGATGTTCATTGATTAATTATATCAATGGATTGGTTTAAGGGAAAATTTGCAGGAAACCCCCATATTTAATGAGAAAATCTATGGTTTCCTGTAGATTTTCCCTTAAACCAATCCATTGATTATAGAAATGTTATGAATCGATCAAAATCCATCAGCCACATCCAATCCCCAAATCCGGCCACACGATCCCAGCGCCGAGGGGCTGGGTCCAAGGCGATGGCCTTGAGGCGAAACATGTTGACATCTCAAGACATGGTAGAAACAGAAAGCATATATTAGATACATCTATAAATATATTAGATGTGATATTTATATATACATACATATATATATTAGATATGATAATATAGACGATCAATATTTTCCAGAATTAGATGCATTTCGATTAATTCATGATGCATGTAGACATATATGCAATATATATATATCATAAACATTAATGTTATTAATCTAGGATGCATTTAGATGAATATATTAGACACATATGTGAATATGCGTGGATTTAGATTAACATGTGATACATATTAGATAGTGTTGAAATATATGAATCATCACATTTAGATCAGATCTATATTTCAATCTTTTATGTATAGACCGTCTATTGTAGATAATTGGTATCGGATAATCATAGATCTACCACAGGTCTATTTTTGCACATAAGCTATATTAGATAAGCTATATTAGATCATATATATTAGATAATATATAGCTTTTTTGACGTTCAACATGTCATTTAATATCCAAGTTTCTGCTGGTGCCCAGTCTGATTTGAATAACTCTAAACCATTAGAATCCATTATGTCCCATGGTACATTCCATAAACTATCCCAGCTATGATTGGCTTTCTACCCCACCTTTTGATGGCTAAATTCCCGAAATCTCCCTTCAGCCATGAGTGAGCCCATAAATTGATCTCACACGCCCCTTTTCCAATGTATGCAAAAAACTTTCCATGAAACCCCTGCATATTCATATGCTTATAAATCATCAACCTTTTCCCATGTTTGTTGGTTACAGTAAATATGGTTAAATCACCATTTTTGATGTTTAAATCGCTAATTTTGGCCATTTTTTGATATATGGATGTTTAAATCACCCAAAAAAAACCTTGGCAAAAACACCAGATTTTTGGTTTCTTAAATCCCCATGGTTCATCTGCACCACCTTTAGTCTCTTGGCTCCATCTTGGGCGGGCTGGGCTCCAAACGCTCTTGGCATCGCTCAAAGCGCCCGGGACATCTTTGAGATCCAGCCTGGCAGGGGTTGATGGGAAAAATCGAAGGAACTTCTGGGACCTTGGGAAATTCAGATAGTGCTAACATGTGCTAACTATATCTAAATCCAATTTAAATTAGAAAAAAACATCTGAATATAACTACTAGTGCTAACTAGTGGTTTATTCAAATCCAATTTAAATTAGAAAAAACAACACGGATATCTGCCAAATGGTCAGCTGCTAGCTCGCCTGGCAGCTGCGCGTGTGGACCTGGGTGCGACTTGCAACTTGTTGGACATAGCTATTGAACATGCCAAGTTATGGATATTTTTATGCATGATTTGCCTATTAAAAATGGTGATTTTCCATAGTGATGTTAGTTTACCAGAGCGCAAATGGTACTACTGTAAATAGTTCTTGGACTTGATAAATCTTAATATGATTTAATATGCAGAAGCATTTCAATGATGGTTTCTGAGATGTAGGGCTACGATCATCATCGTAATCAGAACCGCCGTAGAAGATTAACTAACCCTTGAAGCCATTAAAACCATGTAACATCCTGCAATCCATATACACACCCACGTATTACCCAGAGATACCCAGAGTGTATGTGATGACATGCCCATCGTTACAACCCCCACCAGGCCAGCTGCAGTGATGTCTCTTTTGTCCGCGGCTGAAACGTGGGAGAAATCTGAGCTGGTGCTCGCGCACTGCCATCTTGATATCGCAAGGGTTGGGGACGGTTGTCCAAAAAACGCTGGGAATTGGATGTAGATGATGTAGTCTAAGATATTGGGCTTTGATGTCAAGTGACCTCCTGGTAATTTAATATAGCTATGGAACATCAGCGGTTTTAATCGGTAAATCATCGAAACTAAATGGGCCATCTATGCCCTTGCAAACTGTTTAATTGCCAAAGGGTAGATGGATGAAAGCATTTATCATTTTGAGCGCCTGAAACGACTGTTGAAATTGGAGCCGGGATTTTCAGCATCGAGACCTCGTATAAAAACACACATTGCACACGCACCACACATCGTGCATATGAGTTTGTTCATTTAGCAGTTCTTTCAGGCCCTGTGCACGCACGTATTCACACACACAACCGATAGATCCACATAACATCTATATTCTTAAAACATCTTTTAACACTTTTTCAAAGAGATATCAGATATTCCCATTAAATATCACTATAGCCAGTATGAATCATTAACCATCATTTGCCATCATTAATCATCATTAATCATCATTAATCATCATTAACTATCATTAATTATCATCAACCATCATCATTTGCAGCTTTTCAAGATAAAACATATCCAACCCCAAGCTCCAAACAACGCCCGTGGGTGATCCTCGCTGATCAGTCGAGCTCGGAGGTCACGGTGGCGCTGATCACGCTGGAGACGGCACTGAAGGCGGCGAACATGCAGAGGATGCCCACCTCGTAGAGAGGTGAGCCCCGCGGCGGTCAAACATGACATGGATGGAAATTATGATACCCTCTGGTTATGACATAGCTATTGAAAATGGCCATAGAAATTGTGGATTTTCCCATTAAAAATGGTGATTTTCCATTGCTATGTTAGTTTACTAGAGGGTAACTTTACGTTTCAACCAGAAAAAGGATCAGAAAAAATGAGGGGAGTTAAACTTTTGATCAACCACATTTCACACCAAGAAAACACAGTGTCTTGATCATGGTGTTATCCCACAGAAATGAGGACATGATCTCAACATTTGTGCAGCTGACCCAGCTGACGTGTATCTCACGAGCAATCAGCTATAGGATTTCCCTTGAAGTGACAGGGTACATGTTTAGTAACTGTGAGGTATTCTAAGTATTGTTACCCTGTTACCCCCCCCACTTGTTTTTGCAAGAAAGCCTTGAGACATTGGGGGATTATTGTAGATTATTAATTTTGGGGTGAAAGCCTCAAAACATGGAAGTATTCCAGTATCGCACTCACAACCTCGTTGATGAAACAAGGAATTCCCAGGGTGGCTTGTTACAACACCCATGAAACCAGGTAGGACCCCCCCAGGATTCACCCGCCAAAAGGGGTAGCCCTAAAGTTGAGGCCCTAAAGCCCAGTATGATCATCATTTCTCCTACCAAAGTGGCCAGAAATTGGGGTGCCTGGGTCACGGCCAAGCAGTATTAAAATGTCACAGAAAAACACGTTGAAACAACGTGATCCACCCTATCAAATCACTCTTTCAAAGCCACTATCCTCTGGTAATTTGACATACCATCTGGTTATTTAACATAGCCATGGGAAATCCCCATTTTTAATAGGTAAACCATCTATAAATGGGCCATCTATACCATGGCTATGTTAAATAACCAGAGGGTAGCTACGCTAAATCATCGAACTGAATGCACCATCGTCACATCGCTGTGAAATTACCATTTCGGCCAATGACAATTTCGGACGGTTACCCTCCGGTAAACGTACATAGCTATGGAAAATCCACCATTAAAATTGATCATCCCCAACCAAACAGCACATTAAAAAGCACTGGATTTCCATAGCTATTCTATTAGCCAAGCCGGAGGGTATCAAGCTATGAACTATAGTATCTACAGTATTATATCATATTAGTTATATCAAAAGTTATATTCCCTATAATATCCTAGTGTTATATCATATATCATATAATCATATATCTATATCATTATATCATGTTATATCCTAAATCCCTTTATCAAGCCTAGGTGACCTACAGCACTTCCCTAACGCTACCGTTGAATCGGCGCCAAGTCGCTCCCAACACCACTGAGGGCGCTCCATCCGCCGCCACAGCCGCCTCGGGCGTCAGCAAGACCGGCACGGCGGCAGTGGCGGCCACCGAAACCGCCACGTCGCTGGGGCTTCCTGCAGCTGGGTGCAGCTGGTGAGTTTGGGACAAAGAAACTACCTGGATTTTTGAGATCTCTCTATCCATCGCCTTCAGGACAAAAACTGCCTAACTTTTTGAGATGATTTCAGCAGTTTACCATAGTTTACCGTCCAAACATATGTGGATTTGAGATGGAACAATGAGGCATAAAAAAACTATCAACAAAACTGGTGAATGTACATCACCAACTTTCGCCCTGGATCCTCGCAGCTGTGCTCCGCTGGGTGCGCTGAGGAAAGCCAGGCTATGCAAAGCCCAGCAGGCCACCAGGGCCAGGCACCTGAAGCTGGGTGGTTTTTGGGTCAAAAATGATCAAAGAGTAGGGAGTTTAACCATCAACAATTGTCAAAAAGTGGGGTTTCACCAGCGAACATCATCAAAGACGTTACTGTTTTTTCTCCTCAATCATCAACCAGGCAACACATGGGTTTAACCATCAAACATTATCAAATCGGAGGGTTTAATCATCAAAAAACTCAAAAAGCGGGGTTTAACCACCAAACATCAGCAGCAAGTGGGATTAAATCAACATAATCAACAGGTGGGATTTAATCATCAAACATCATCAACAAGTAGAGTTTCATCATGTTTAATCATCAAAATTACGTAATCAAATAGCGGGGTTTTAATCATCAACAATAACCAGCAAGTGGGGCAACCATCAGAGATGGGGAGTTTCATCATATGCTGGCAGTGGTGGTGGTGGTGATGAAAAAGATTGAGTAAGTGGTGTGTGAGCTACAGTACAGGAACCGGGATACTCCATTAATCTATCTGGTTTGACTCTCTGTCTCTCTATACCTCTCTCTCTCTCTATATCTCTCTCTGTATATATATATATATCTCTCTCTCTCTATACATCTCTATACCTCTGAGTGGGTTACACTTACTGTCTGGCACCCTCAAAAAGATACCAGGCAAAACGAGGCAGATCTGACCAACCAACATGGGGATTTCAATCAACACGTGGATGGCTGATGGTGGTATCCTATACCAGCACTGATGGCGATGTTGTCTTCAGTTGATTCTAAGTCCTTCAGATTCAATAAAGGAAGATTAGAAGGAACACAGGATTTTGAAGAGACAAGTGCCAAACTTCCCATGGAGGCATAGTCATAGTTCGTGTTTCTAGTTGGACACTTGTCCAATCCACGACTTATTCACCTGGAATGCACGGGACCCAAACTCTGCATGCATAACCAACCTTCTTACCGGTCGAACACTCAAAATGACGGATCACATGGGGTTCAAGTAGATACAGTAAACCGATATATGTACATACATAGTACATACATATATTACTACATATGCACATTAAAAATCATGAAATACACATGATGTGTTTCAATCCGATAGTTACCGTATACTTCGTAGTTTGTTGATGTCGATCCCCTGCTTAGATTTAATCCATCCCGCAAATGCTCGTCTTTGGGGGATCACCATCCCACTTTCTATGCTTAAACATGCAAAATTATTCAACGCCACCAGTCAGGTTGAAACTATATGGCTTATATTAAGTCTGGTTGGTGGTTGAGCCACCCCTCTGAAAAAAATAGTCAGTTGGGATGATGACATTCCCAATATATGGAAAAATAACAGTCATGTTCCAAACCACCGTCCAGTAATGTTATATATATATAATTATATATATACTGTATATATATATATCCCCATGATATCCCCAGTGGCCATCTATCGTTGATCCAAATTGCAGGGTGATGAGCTTCGAAGCACGTGCCATCCGCGGCAGATCGATGGATCTCACAGCTGGTTTGGAGCACCAAAACGCTGCGATGTCCGGTGCGATGTGGAGACCAACCAAGCTCCCTATGTTTACTGGAGATGTACATATGTATCATATATATATATATATTATAATATACAGATATAATATGCTACAATCAGATTCAAACATTATGTTTTATATTGTCATTACATGTCGTTCCATGCCATTGTCACTACATTGATATAATATATACAATTCTGTGAGTGAGTGTATTATTATTATTACTATAATAACAATAATTATTGTTATTATACGTACTAAGGGAGAAGATACACGTGATGCCTGCTGCCAAGCTGAGATCATGCAACCAACATCTGAAACCAGCTCGTTAAACCACTTCCAGTTCCAGCCAGCCGTTCATTTCATGAAAAAGTCACGTTCGGAACACCCAAACACATATAGAACCTCGGGCGAAGAATGATGCCGTTATAAATGGCGAATCACAGCAACTGGGTAGATATTGTCTGGTGGTTGAGCCAGCCCTCTGAAGAATGATGGAGTTCGTCAGTTGGGATGATGACATTCCCAACTGAATGGAAAAAAATGTTCCAAACCACCAACCACTATTTGTACATATTAGATATCCGGATCATAAAGAAACTCACTGATACCCGGAGACAAAAAATTGGTTGGTGACTTTTCCCGCAACTTTCTGATCATCAATGGCTTCAATTTATGGAGTCAAACCACACCTACTACTTCCGCCCCAGGCGAATAGAAATTGTGATCTACCAACGACATTGCCATGGGGTGGGTGTTTCACCCTCTGCCGAGGATTCCAAGGGCCCAGCCATGCAGTGGGCTGATGCAAATCCAATGCCAAGGCTTCGGAACAGTCCGTCACCACCTGAGATCGCTCCAAAGCGCAGAAACTGTTTCGTATATTTAGATCTCCCAAAGTAACATGGATCACTGGAAAAAAACTATATATATATAACTATCTATACAAATAAATAAATAAATACATATATATATATATAAATACCCGCAGGCCGCCTAATGTGTATATATATATATATATATCCAACATCTTCTAGTCATGTTCTAGTCCTCCTATCCCTTCAACTCCGTTTGTTTGATGCGTCCGGCCCCGCGGAAAAGGTCAGCAACAAAAAACCACTGGGCCCCAGTGACAAACTGCGCTTCGCCCACCCTCAACTTTGCCCTTGCCCGAGTGAGGTAAGCGGACCTTGGCGACTGATATGTTCTGCCGAGGATTTAGCCACCATTTTTTTGGAGGTGTTATAACCAATAAACCTGGGACTATCAGAATCTGTATGGTCTGTAGATGCTTGAATTCAATCTCCCAATGAATGCTTAAATGGTGGTTTAACCACAAAATATGATGGTTTAATATGGTTTTACAATCAACCATGGTGGTCAAATATTGTTTAACAACGCTGAAACAGGAACATATACGTATATAATCGTGTATATATATATATATATCACATACATACATACATATTTATATAAATTATATATATATATATAATCACAGACATTTAGCCAATACATTATTAAAAGACCCCTTCAAAGACCTGGTTTGGTATTGGATCTGTTCATTCGTCCGGGCCCCTTCGTACGGCTGGGATTCGTCCGCTACTGTTGAACTGGTTGAACCCAGCCATCTTTCGTGAGAGCAGTCACAACCATTTACATGCGGACCCCATATTATTTCTGGTTGGTGGTTGAGCCACCCCTCTGAAGAATATGAGTTCGTCAGTTGGGATGATGACATTCCCAACTGAATGGAAAAATAAAACATGTTCCAAACCACCAACCACTATTTGTACATATTAGATATCCGGATCATAAAGAAACTCACTGATACCCGGAGACAAAAAAATGGTTGGTGACTTTGCCCGCAACTTTCTGATCATCAATGGCTTCAATTTATGGAGTCAAACCACACCTACAAGCCCCAAGAATAGAAACATGTTTCCAGGGTGTTGTAGATTATGGTTCGCCCATATATCGGATTGCCCATTTATGTACAGCAGATTTTGAGGATCTTTTCCCGCTTGGCGCGCATCTAAGCTTGCACTGGTAAGTCCATGCAGTTTCCTTGTTTGCAAATAATTTGCAGATTGGAATTGTGGACTTTCCCAGGTCCCAGGACCCATCACCGAAAGCCACAGGTCGCCCGACACATTCAGTGGATCAAGACGTAGTGCCTGTGGGGTCAACCATCAAGATATTGGGTATGGGTCAATACCTATAGATACCATTTTTAGTGGGATGAACATCCATTTTAACCCAGCTATGTTGATGTGAACAAAAAAGGGGTACTATTGGTTTTGACACACTGAAAAATATATCAAGATGCTGTTGAAATCAGGCTGTTTCTGGGCGTTTTTTTTGTGGGGAAAGGATCAACCCTGACATACCCTGTCCAACTCTGGTGGTTCAACTATGGAACTCATGGACCACTGAACAGCTGCCAGCCAGCTGACCCCGGGAAAAGTCCAAGAAAGAACTTACAAGGTGGGGCCCCCCAGTTATAAGTTGGTTTATAAACCCCATTAACTATAGTTATAAGTACCATAAACCATAGTTATTGGAGTTGTAAACCAACTTAGCTATCCAGGGGGCACCACCTTGTAGAGAGCTTTATCTTCCAGAATCACACACACGATTTTCTTTTGAGAAAAGAGGGGGTGCTTTGATACACCTATTCATATCCATTCATAATTCATTCATCATCATAAATCCAGAATGGCTGCAGTTGGAACTAATCCTTTGTGAAACTGTAGATTGCACTGGACGACTGCACTTCTATAAGGGGAACATGTTCTTTGAACCCCCTTGGAACTTGGGTTTTTTCCAGCAGCGACGGGCACCTCACTGGCATCCTTCACTGCCTCCTCCAGCTTATCCCTGAGATGCTGAGTGGAGCATCTTGTGACTAACTGCCTTACCACCCTGCTTGGGAAGTTCAGTCACCATCGCACAGTTTTTACTGGGGTTAATCAGTCACTGATTACTAGTCGGGATGATCCAAGCAGACTCCATAGAAAGATGCCTCATTTCAGGTGGGTGGAATGATGACAGCCAGATTTTTACAGCCAGAAATTTTGAATGTCCTCAGGAGTCAAGGCCAGAAATTCAGGGAAATCTATGGACATGTTGAATGTGAAGATTTCCTCGACTTCAGGACAAAAATACAAACAGTTTCATTCTTTTTCTTTGCAAACGCACAATCTTCCCAGCATATACACTGAGATTTCCTGAGTTCAGGGGAACATTAAAAGAACCACGGACTCAGCAAACACAGTGATCCAACTGAAGTTAGTTGGATAAATGTCAGCCATTGAGCATCATCCCACACAACAATATATAAATGTAAATAAAAGGGATTCAAAGGGAACACACAGAAATGCTCGAAATTATTTGGCACCAACATTGAGTTTCATTTGCTTTTTTTTTTTGTGCTGCCTAGTGCTTACATCATCTTACATCCCAAAGATCCCTATGTCAATGGATTGGTTTAAGGGAGAATTTTAACCGGAAATCTCCATGATCTTCATGGGAAAATCTATGGTTTCGGGTGAAGTTTTTCCCAATAAAACCAATCCATTGATAATAGTAACAATCATCCATTAGTAACTAATAGATTCTAATAGTAACTAATAACCAATCCATTGACTATGACTCCAGATGACTCCAGTCTCTTCGACCCTTCGTTTGAAAACGCCCAGGGACTGCAAGCGCTTGGCTTCAGCGCGGGCGGCCCAGCCTATGACAACATATCAGCCAAATATACAGTGATATCACTGGTGAATATCTGACCAAAATATGGTAATATCATGCAATATCTGAATATATCTGATATAATTGATGTTTTAGCCAGATAATAAATTTAATATGACAACACGGGAAGCTTGGTAATATGATGAAATATGATTTGGTCAGATATCACTGATATCACCATATTCCTCCTGTAGCTGAAATATATTGACGCGCATGCCAAAGGCATCATGTTTGTCACTTGCCACGGGCTCTTCGAGCTCCCGGTAAGGCCACGGCAAAAGGGAACTCTAGCCTTGGCACATGGTGGTTTAAGGTTTCGGCTCGTGGGGTACCCCCCCTTTCAGCCTTGTAAACCTAAGCGGTCCGAGCCATTTGCGACCGCGGGCAACTGGGACTACTTCTTCAAGCCTCTCAGTCTGCCTTTTAGGTTTGGGGTCAACCTGGTAAAACCCTGTCGTGGTCCTTTGCATCTTTTTGGCTGCCGTTAGCTCGGCCCACAACTATTGCTATTGGACATTTTTGGCACTGTGGTGCGCCCATCGGTGGTTGTTGTTGATTGAATTTCTCACAACAGTTACATCTTTGGCTGTCCACATCCACGGTTTGTATTTACAATTTTGGATTTCTCCTGGGCTTGCTACAACAGTGACGTTCCTGTTGTTGCTCCCCTGTTTGGTTTCCTTGACTACTTTCCAATTTTGCGTTTCTGCGGGTGTACGTAACATCCGGGTTTTGGGAGTTGCAACCTTTTTTATGTTTCAACTGGCAATTTGGGCTTTTTGTCACGTTGGCGTCGCTATCTACAGCCTCCCGAAGGAGATTTCGAAGGTTCCGAGCGCAAGCAAGGCTAAACTGGTTTTTGCACAGAACGAAAATCAGACCTTTGAGTTCAATTGGGCTTCAGAGGATTTTCCATACGCTTTCGCTTCATCATTCTCGCGACCCGAAATTTCTGGCTACCATTCGCAACGAGATTGCTGCAATGGCGACACATGGTCAGTCTTATCCTTGGCATTGTCAGTGCGGGAGCCTCAATGGGAAACGCGCAATGCATTGTCCTATTTGTGGGCAACACTGGACTTGTGGAACCCCGCACTCGAATCAGCCCAAGGATCCAGGAGCACAGCAGAATCGCCGACAACGCGGGGATCAGCGAAGATCTGGAACTCCTCGTCAAGGCCAGAGGTGGACCCACGACTACGAGCAAGGAGACGGAAGTCAGTGGGTTCAGTCTCCCAGGAAGTCCTCTCCCAGGCACAGGTCTGGGTCGAATCGACAGAAGACAGGCAAGGGGAAACACAAAGGCAAGCACAAAGGTGGACAGAACATGATGCCGGTCCCTCCAGCTTCAGACCAACATGTTGCGCAGGGGCCGCCAGCAGTTATGCCGACATATCAGGAGGCTCCATGGCTTATGGCCCCTCCGCCGCCCCTGCCGACGACAAGCATGGCAGCCGACCCCAATGCAACAGCTGTCAATGCTGCTGCCACAGCCGCCGCTTCAGCCGCAGAGGCCAAATTGAAGGCCATGTATGCCCTTCTGGAAAAGCATCCCGATGGATTGCATCCGGACATTCAGAAGGAAATGAAAGACACCAAGATCAAGGAGGGCGAAATCGCGATCAAGTCGCTGCACAAGCAGGTCAATGCACTTGGCAAAGCCAGGACGGAGCTCCAGAATGCCAATGCAGCCAGACTCAGCCTTCACTCCTCCTGGAGGACATTCCTGGTGGAACAAGTGGCCAAGTGGCAGGCATACTCGCAGCAATTCCAGCAGCAGGAGGCAGTGATGGCAGAACGAGTCAACTCTGCTCGAGCAGCCTTGGACACAGCCCGAAGCAATTTGGCGGCCTCCAAATCGCTCCTGCAGAAATCGGAGGAGCCGTCCGATCAGGACATTACGACAGTGAGCGACGAGGAGGAAGAGTCCAAGGAGTCCAAAGATGCTGCGAACACCAGTGCCCAAAAGATCAACGACAGCCTGAAGCATTTAGGCGACAGCCTGCGAACGCTGAGTGCCAACGCAGAAGAGTTGATGCAAGCCGAGCAGCAGGCGAACAAACGTCAAAGACTGGAGCCACCAGACACTGGTATGCAGGACGTGCCTCCAGCTGGTGGTACGTCTTTTTGATGGGCCGGATTGGTATGACCACAGAGTATACCGTCCAATGGCCAGGGCACTCCGGCATTTTGCCTTCAACTTCCGATCTTACTTTGAAGTGGACACACTCGATCCTGCAAGAAGATGACTACTGCTCGGAATGGGTTGCAGCACACCGTGCCACTGAGCTTGCCTTGCAGTTTGGGTCCTCCACCTTCCAATCGCCGAGATTTGTCCCAGCACTTGGTCGCAGGCATGAGGGTAGAGCCTGCGTGACTTTTTGTCCCAATGTGGAGGTGTTTCTTGGTGAAGAAGCTTCAATTGACATGCACGCTGTGACTGTCCCAGCCGAAGCGCTGCACACTTGTCACAAACCTTGGTCTGATCATTTTCAGCCCTTAGGCACGAAGATGTCCACAGAGCGGTTTTGTTTTGATCGAGATCTTGCATGCCCCGTTTCCGAATTGTTTGCAGCCTTTTTGCACCCTCGCCCTGACCAGAGCTTGTCATTGCATTGTGCTGGCCTTTGCCGCGATCCGCTGTCTCCTTGTGAGGCCGTGTTGATCCCAAAGGACCATGATCCATCCAGCTTTTTGCATAATGTGGAATTGTTGACTCAGGTTTTCACTTCCCAAGTCATTTTGAACCCCAATGATTATCCGTGTCCGTTGGTTTCAGGCATTTCTCAATTATCTCAAGAGGGATATGTGACTTGCCCCGGCTCCGATGCTCCTGCTGATGCGGGTCCTACAGATGCCTCCCAGACTCGTACCGACGCTCATGGAAGTCTTCCAAGTAGTGCACCGTCGCCGATTCGACTCCCGCCGTTTGCACAACAGATGATGGTCAACCTTCCATCGGAATTTTCAACCAACCCAGCTCGAATCGTCCAAGGGTTTGTGGTTCGTACGTGGTATCTGCATCATGTTAACATCCCCCTGTCCCTGCAGGCGAGGCAAATCATGATGACTGGCCCACCGCATCTGTGGAGAGCGCAGATCCTCACCACTTGGGCTGACCTTATCATTCCTGGGGAAGACCTCACGCTTGATTTAGTTAGCCCTAACCCTCCACGTAACTGGCATGAGACGCACATTCTGTATGACTTGATTTTGGCGCAAGGGATGTACAGTGGTCGCTTTTCAGGGCTGGTAACCATTTCCCCAACCATCACTGAGCAGAATCTACGAATGTATGCGGTTGCAGTTTCGTTTGAACCTGTCATCAGTGGCCAAGATCTCATCACAGGTGCCGATCTTCAGCCGTTTTGTAATCGGTTTGACTGCCTCCTCTTTCATGCCAGGGAGCAATTGTACATTGATTTCAATCGCATTCATCAGATGCAGCATGGTCATGGGTTTGTTGTTTATTTGAGTCGCAAACCTAGTGCTGAGCCTGCATCGAGTGTTCACAATGATTTCACTCCCACTATCGACCCTGTTCCAGAGCCCCAGATTCCACCGGATGCCAATATGGACCAGCCGTCGGTTGATGCGTCTGATCCTGTGGCAACAGATCCGACCTCTGCCGCTGTGACTGATGCCAATGACCTCCGACGCGTTACTTTGTACCGACTGAATAGGCAAACCAAATCAGCCTGGGTCCGCTGGCGGCAGTTCTCGAACTTATTGCAGGATGTTTTAGAGGTTACCTCCATCTCTCCTGCTGATCTCGTTGCCATTCATCCGCTCTTGGTGAAACCGGTAGGAGAGCCTGTGAGTGAACTCAGTGTCATTGTACAGCAACGGCAGGACATTGAACAAGGCTCTTCCGACAGTCTGGTGCTGATGGATGTGATTTTTCATCAGCAAGGGTCTGTTGCGCATATGTACACTGCTCCTGCCGTCGATAGAAAAGTAGTGCGAATGCCACAGCTTCTCACTCGACAAGGCGTCCTGCAGATTGCCAGAGTTGCCAATTTTTGTGAGAGCGTTCGGCAGACCTGTCTTGTTGCGCTTAACCATTATCCTTGGCCTTCTCAGATTGTCGGACCTCAGACAGTTCTGTCAGGAAGTTATATTCGAGTGCACGTACCACCAGCCAACGTCCACGGCACTGAGACATGCAGATCTGCTTCTCTGGTTGAAGATTTGTTTGATTCGCACTTTCCTTCGTTTGCTCAGGTGTACCCTGCGTCGCCGCACCATACTGATGTGAACACCCGTGCCAAGCCTGATGTTGGATCTACCCCGCCCGACGCCATGCATGACAGTTTAAGACTATGCCATTCTGCACTGCCTAGGCAATGCCATTATGCAGATCAGCACGTTGCAGGGGACCCTTCGTTCGAAGTCGACACGCCGATGCAAGCAGCACCGATCTTTCCCAATGCACCCGAATGGCATGAATTTGACCAAGAAATGCGGGCGCAGTTTGAGGAACTTTCGGTGGTTGACATCCCGGAGGAAGGACCTGTCCTTCATGTCACAACGTGGTTCGTCCATAATGATCATGCTCCGGTGTGCCTGGTCGGTCGACTCATTCGGCTTTCGAATCGACCATTTGAATGGTTCGCTCAATTGTGCAACCCGTGGATGCACATGCTGCGACCATTTGAGAACTTGGCATTTCGAATTGTCAGGCCGGCACCTGTCTCTGATATTCCTGGTTTACGCATGATGCATGTCATTTTGGAGCAAGGGATTCAGCAGTCTAGACTGACTGCTTTGTTTTCTGCAATCTTTCAGGGTATGCATGGTGACATTACCCATCGTAGGGCGCAGTCCATCCCCACTGTTCTTTCGCAGGAGATCATCACGCGTATCTTAGATGTTCAATCTTTGTGTCGTGCCCGCAGATGTACTGCCTGGTCTGGTCGCACTCAGTTTCAACGCACGCGCACAGACCCAGTTTTTAATGGCATTGGAGTGTGTCTCACGGTTGATCCATTCCGCAATCGTTTCGCCTTGGTTGATGATGACGGGTTCCCGCTGTCCCATTCAGCATCATCCTCTCAGGTGCCACCTCGAATGTCCTTTCGAGTTGATGATGCCACATTATTCCCCACCGCAGACCAAGCAAGGAGCTCCACTGATTTGCTTGTTGCTGAGCACGTTCCCAGCAACTTGATTCCGGAGCTCAAAATCATTTGGCAGCACCATTTGATGACAACCCCTCACGGGCCATACCGGTTTTATGTTGAAACTTGGTTTTGTGATCATGACCGATTTCCGCGTACGAATCGAGGCCGT